CTTTTCTGTGATTCTATGCCTCTGGTTTTATTTTGCCCATTAGTTTATTTTGTTCTCCAACTTTGTTCTTCTTTCTCAACACTACTGAGGCTATTTGAGGTCTTTTATTTGGTTCCAAGGTTTTAGTGAATTTTTTTTGAAGACTCTTTCAATCTGTTTTGCTCATTTCTTGATGAGTGATTTATCAACCCACCTGCCCACATCACACTGAGTGTTCAGCAGTTTTTGATCAAAAAAAAAATGGCATGGCCCCATGCCCCACCCTCCCTATTCACTTGATCTTGTCCCAAGCAACTTTTTTTTTTGTTTCCCAGGTGAAAAGTCCTCAAAAGGAACATTTTGCCATTGTGGAAGAGGTCAAACAAACAAACAAACAAACAAAACGGCAGAAGGACTAAAAGGCTAAAATTGCGTCAAAGTCTTGATAGACGTATTGCATGAAATGGTAAGTACTTGAAGGTGACTGAAGTTTGAATGTGTAAGAACATACAATTTTTCATAAATGAATTGTTTTCTTTGTTTTCCCCCATACAAGGTGTGTCTGGAAAAAGCCCAGCCATTGTTAATACGAGAATGGTTTGTACATTGATGTAACCTGTCAGTCAAAGAGAGTGGACTAGAATATGCATGTGTGAACAATGACCACCTCACTGTAGTAGCCAGTGGGGATGGCAGACACCACTGAGTGAGCACGTGTCCTGTGTGGCCATCACATTCAAAATGGCTGAGTAGAGCAATGAATCTGCATCAAATTTTGTGTTAAGTTTGAACATTCCTCCACGGAAACTATGTGGATGTTTCCAAGGCTGCAGCTACGGGCAACTGGTGATTGGCAGCTTCATCATGACAACGTGCTTGCTCATGCATCACATCTTGTGCAGAGTTCTTTGGAGAAACATTGAATCACGCAGGTGACTCAGCCCCCCTACAGACCAGATTTGGCATCTTGTGACTTCTGGCTTTTCCCAAAAATCATCTCTGAAAGGGAAGGGACTGCAGCCCTAGCTGGTGTGGCTCAGTGGATTGAGTGCCGGCCTGTGAACCAAAGGGTCGCCAGTTCGATTCCCAGTGTAGGGTACATGCTTGGATTGCAGGCCAGGTCCCCAGTAGGGGGCAAGTGAAATGCAACCACACATGGATGTTTCTCTCCCTCTCTTTCTTCCTCCCTTCCCCTCTCTAAATAAATACGAAACATCTTTGAAAGGGAAGAGATTTCAGATTGTTGATGAGATTCAGGAAAATACGACAGGTAGCTGATGGCAATTGGGACAATTGTGTGAGGTCCCAAGGTGCCTACTTTGAAGGGGACTGAGGCATTGTTATCCTACCTACAATGTTTCTTATATCTTGTATATTCTTTATGTATGTCTCTATTTTTCATATTAAATGACTGGATACCTTCTAGACAGCCTATATATATATCTCCAACTGCTTTGCTTTTTAAAATATGAAAATGCCAGAAAAAATGACTATTTCACTATTTAATATTCTGCCTTCATTACAAATTAAATAAATATTAACTACATTTTGCTAACAACAAATTTTAAAAATGTAGGAGAACACAAATACTTTTCTTTTCCAAATAGAAGAGATAGTTTGGTCATAAAGAGATTTGCAGCCCCTAATTTCTTGGACTCAATTTAACTGTGCTTTCCTATTAATTCCACTTTCTAAGTTGTTCAGAAATGTATCTTCCCATGACTTGACACAAATTTATTGAGCTCAAAATCCATGCCCTGCACAGCTGTAGATGTTCAGGATCCAGCAGTGAACAAAGTAGTCACATGCCTTGCCACTGTGATGCTTATTACACTCCAGGCGGGGATGGGGAGGGGACGACAAGGGAGTAATAATGTTGTGGTGAGGTACTGAACACAGCCTGGACTGGAAAAGCCTCTCTGACATGGGCGCATTTCAGTGGAGATCTGAAGGAAATAAAGATGGGGTTGTATGGCAACCTGGGGGAAGAGCGACCCAGAGTTGTGCTCAGTGCACTGGGGCCAGTTAGCAGGAGAGGCGTGAAGAAATGGGATAGTGGCGGGTGGGATATAGATGTCACCAAGAGCATTAAGACCCCAGTGAAGAGAAGGCTTTGTGTTCTCAGGGGAATGGGGGAGGGCAGTGCACGTGCCATGAGAGGAGTCCCAATAAAGTCGTAACATGCTTTAACCTTAACTTTCTACGTTGATGGAAATGTTCTGCAGCTGTACAGTTCAAATAATAGCCACTGACCAGTTGTGGTTAAATTTAAATTAATTAAAGTAAAAAATGCAGTTCTTCCATTTGACTAGTCACATTTCAAGCATTCACATGACTATACTGGACAGTGCAGTTTTAGCAGAACAGTCTGAATGCTGGGTGAAGAGCAGGCTCAAGGCAGGTAAGTGCTGAATGAAGCAGAGCAGGGACCAGTCAGGAGGCCATTTCTAGGAGAGAAATGGTGGTGGCCCAGCCAGGGGTCATACTAGAGGGGGTGACAGGGAGTGGTCAGACTCTGGATGAAGTTCTGAAGGGAGGATTTGGTGCCAGACTGGATCTGGACTGTGAGAGATGCACAGCTGGCTCTGAGGTCTGGGGCCCGAGCACTCCAGAACGAGAGCACTTGCAGAACCGGTGGAAGAGGATGTTTCTGAGATGTTTCTGAGGGAGTGGGAAATGAATTCAGAAGTTCTGTTTTGGACATGTTAACTTAAGATGCCTAAGGCGTCCTAGCAGAGATCCCCAGAAGTCTATGGAGTTAAGAAGAGAGATCGAGGCTGAAGACACTACTTTGGAGCTCTAAGTATTTAAAGTCGTTCCCGAGGGTGAGATCACCTAGCAGTCGCTGTAGACGGTGAGAAGAGGTTTGAGGTCTGAGGTTTAAGACTGGGGCACTCTGATGCTTAAAGACTGGGGAATGAGGAGAAACTTACAAAGGAGCTGGAGAACAGGTGGCCGGAGAGCCAATCGAGAGCCAAATCAATTAAGTGTTTCAAAAGAGAAGGGAGAGATGGACTGGGTCAAATGCTACTGGTACACTGAGTAAGAAGAAACCGAAGAACAGACCGTTGTATCCCAACACAGATCTCAGCGGCGACCTTCACAAAAAGGTCTTAATTCCAACTGGCACTGAACTCCTGGACTTCTGGACTGACCTCACAACAGATCTCCTTTGCTTTAGTAACTGCCATTCAAACATGTCCTTTATATTACTGTCTGTGTTCTCTTTCTAAAACATAAATTCTCCTACATTGCCACTCAGCTAAAAAAGTCTTGTCTTATACTATATGATCTATAGTAGTAGTAGCCAAACTCTAGGGTACACATAAAAATGACCCTTGGGTGAACACGCTCCAATACCCAAGATTCAGTCAGTATATTAGGAGAGACCTGGGAACTCAAATTTTTTTTTTAAGTGACAGTCTGAGTAATGGTTGTACGCCATGCAGACCAAAAGACAAAGTCCAAACTCTAGGAGGGCAAACATAAAATCTTTTCCAAATTTGGTCCCAAACTTCTTGACTAGTTTCTTCCCATTCTACTCTGGACAGCATCTATTTGCTTCCACAACCTAAAACTAATTATTCAAATAATGCATTTTCCTCAACGTGACATATTCTTCCAGGTATTATTCTTGCACAAGCTGTGACTCATGCTTTAGGATCCAGCTTAAATGTCACTGCTACTGTGAGACCTTGCCCAGCTCCCCAAACTCTGTGAAGCATTTCTATACAACATTTATCACACTATTTTCTGACTCTTCTTTTATCACTACCACCAACTCCAGGAGGCAGCAATGTGAGACGCTGTTTTCTTCATCTATGCATTGTCAATACACTATCTGGCAGGCTGCAGACATTCAATATCCATGGACAACTGCTGATCTCAAACCAAGGCACACTGGAGAGTGCTTCAAGAGTTGAAGTGCTGCCGCTGCAAGTGCTGAGGAGGTCAGAAGCAAGTCTGCCTGGAGGACATACTGCTACCTGGGACTTAATGTATGACCAGAACTTAAGAGAGTGCAAAGGTGAAGAGAATCTAAGGAGACTCCCAGACAGGACCATGAAGATGGGGGTGGGGTGGGGGGGGGGCGCACAATATTTCTTCCTCTATTAAGACAGATGTAGACTCAAGGTCAAAAACAGGATTTGAAATCTATAGATTATGGTTTCAAATAAATATTTTAAGCTTTTGTCTTAAAATACATTTCAAAAAACTGAACAAAACCTGACCCATTACAACCTGTTGGCTGGATCTAGTAAATGTTCCACCCTCTTTTATAGATGGGACTCAAAGCTCTTGCTCTTACTTAGTTCATCAGAGTAACATTCTAAGGAGATTAAGGTCACACACTAAGTCCTTACACAAGCTTATCAGCTTTTACTTGTTCCTAAGACCATTTTCTCACAAAAGAGGTATGAGGGACAGTCTGTCAAAGTATGTTGGCACAAATCTCTTACCTGTATCCACCAAACAACTTATTTCGTATCTCCTACAAGAAATGGACCTACAAGGTTCCCCTGGTACCCAAAGACTATGTCTTACAAAGCTGCTGTATGAATAAATCTCTGATACTTCTTTAGTTCTAGAACTCCCCCAGAGCACCTAGCTGCATTTGAGCAAATAGCTCCTCAAAACTTTTCAGAATAATCCAGAACCTGGCAATTCTCTGGTCCATCTATGGGTGAATCCTTGAAAGCAACCAATTTCTGAATATTGATATGAAAGAATTTATAAAGTAGTTTTAATCATATGCAATTAAAAAACCAATACAGTATTAGAAAAATATATAGATGTAAAAGGAATATATAACCATAATGTTTTTATTCAAAAACATATTTTATATGCAAAATATAATAAAAATGATTTAGTATTTTGTTTTAAAAATCTTGATCCCTGGCATCTGGGTTTTTCAAATTTAAGGTTACTGTTATTCCCTTTGTGCCCACAAAACCAGTCACTTAACGGTAGCCACCTGGGTGGGACTGACTTTTGAATTGTAGAAACACACAATTGCTTACCTGGGGAGAAATAAACTGCGGAGGCACTTGCGCCCGGAGACTAGGAGAAGAACTTAGTGGCTGCACTGGTGTGTGCATACCTCTCGATTGTGCTGTGCTATTTCCAAACAAACCATGATTGCCACCCTGCAAACATAACAGCAACAGTAAGGCTTTTTGTTAATATTAGAAAACGCAAATAAGAAACAGTTCAGGTTTTCCATCCCTCAGAAGAGTCATATCCTGTGTTCCATGGAATCACAGAATTTTATACCTGCAAAGTTCCTGATCTTGGAATGCTCAGGAAAATTATTCAAATTCAATCATGGGCATATCATTACTACCCACGTAGCCTGATTACTTCTAAAAACCAAAAGGGTTAAATTTAGTCAAATGTTAGAAAATGTACTCATTTTTTTTCCTTGTAATTAAAGGTACAGGCAATATAAGATTTATCTCAGCTTTCTTTTTTAAGATTGGGTTTACCAATTTTATTCTCAAGCTTTATAATTTGAGACCTGAGGCACCTGAGTAAAAATGCAGGCTTATGAATAATATCATTGCAAAACAACACATGATATTAATTCTTTGCACTGGTTAGTTCAATCACAGTATCAGCGGCATCCAATTATGAGCCCAGCTCCATGAGAACCCTACTCCAGCTCTGAACACCCTTCCCTGTCCTGGGTCTGCTTAGTCCCTTCTTCGCTAGATGAGGAGGTCTGAATCAGTCACAGAGTGAGATTAAAAGAATGGGAAAGAGAGAAAAATAATTATAGGGACACCAAACAAACATTACTCACCTGTGATTTCTCATTCAAATGTTTGACTATTAGTCTAGTTAAAAACAAACTTAACTCCCTGATTTCTGGAGGACCAACTCACTGGAGCACTGTTTAGACTGTTCCAATCAAAGAGCTATAGAAAGTGAGGTGACACAATGGCCCTTCCTTTCTGCAAAGTCCTTCAGCAGAGACACCATGCGATACTTGACACTCTGCTCCCCCTGACTGAGGTCGTTTCCTATGCCACCTTCACTTGGTATCTTCAAGGCCCAGCTCATCAAGAATGCTTTTCTCAAAACCTTCTTCTTCATTTCACATTCACATTAACTAAGCCCACCTCTATGTTCTCAAATACTTTAAAACTGTTTTGATAACATCATCAAATCATATTATAGTTATTTTCCATTCTGTCTTTCTACCACCAGCTTAATACCTCCTTTGTTGTATTCCCAGAGCTCCATAATGCCTTGGTCTGTAGAATGAGCACAGTATTAGCAAACATCCACGACCCACCAATTTCATATACCGTATTTTTGCTGTGTATAATGTGCACACATGCTTTTGTGTGCATTATACATGGGATTGTTATGCCCATTATCATACCCATGGTACGTAATCATCACATCCATGTATAATGCACATCCTATTCCCCCCCCAAAAATCTGGGCAAAACAGTGTGCATCATACACGGCAAAATACGGTACTTGAAACCATCCCATTGAGCATTGTCAGTAAATACAGCTACAGCAGTGCTTGTACCAAGTATACACAATGAACGGAAAGCGCCACCATCATCTTACCCCCAGAATCGTGGGAATAAGGTATGTTGAAGAATCTTGTAATGGCACCATTAAGTTCTAGAACACTAAAGACATTTTAATGGCTTAATGATTAAAAATAGATTAAGGGCTGCTACAGGGAAATTAATAAACTTAAAAGCATTGAAAATAAAAATGATTATGAACATAAAGTAGAAATAGCAATCAAAAATCTATATATATCTCAAAAGAAAAATCAAAGAGCCACCATGAATTTTAAATCTCCCAAAGGACTGTTTATACCTGAAGAGACCTTTATTTCTAAAAACTCTAATATCTCTGCTTCTCCTGTCTTACTAATCAAATTGTCACCCTAAGGTAAAAATGCTCAGCTGTAACTTTTCTGTGATCTTCATAGTCAGTAGCTTAGTTACAAATCATTTCCAGGAAAACAGAAAACATTTATTTTGCTAAAAATATTCTGCAAAATCAGGATGGCTAAGTGGGCTATGGTGTTGTGTGCAGACTATTTCATCCTCACACTGTACTAGCAAAGTAATAATCTTGTTATTACATGTTAATTATTCATGATCTGGTCCTTGAATGGTAGGGTTTCTGGTAGCTAAAGTCTTTGCCATGTTTAGTATTTTGACAAGTCCAAAACTTCTTTGTGAAATTTCAATCTCTGTTTTGGTAAGAAGTATTAAAAGGAATTGCTATTTTTAGTTTCTGTAAAATCAAGGCCTACTTTCCTATTCCCAGTAGACAGATTCTACCCTTCTTCCACCAAAGATACTAGATTTTCATTGTCAAGTGTTTCTAAAGCCGTATCAAGCACTTTGATATATCTGATGTGGTGAATATTATAGATAAGTCAACAGTAGTCTACCAAAAAATACCTTCTCTATTTTTCTTCTGTATATTTTTTTATATGGAATCTTGGCACCACAAGCTGGTCATTTTCTTGGCTCAGAAGTAGCAATTTTACACAACAATGTATTTAGTGGCAATCATACAGATTGACTCTTTTTTTCAAAAATTGTATTTAGAAATTAGGAAAATGGTTCTCCGAAGGTTGTACACATATTTATGGTGGTTTACCTGGCTATTTCTAAACAATTACTATTATAGGTGAGGCTTCTATGATTACCTGACTTCTAATAGTTATTGGTGAAATCTGTCACAACTACAGTGTTTAAATTAGAAAGGTATAAATTAAAGTTATCAAGCTGATTGAAATCTTATGATTTGAAAAGAAAAACCTTAAGATTTAAGTCTGCATTAAAAAACACTGTGAAAAAACATCACCATATTTGGACTAAAACGTGTGTTATCAACCTGGTTCACGATAGACTTTGCACAGCTAGTCTGGCTGGCCTGTTATGCTAGTTTACGTAATAAAAACATTTGATACCCATGTGATCCTGGAAGCATATTTACAGTTACCATTAACCAAGTGTTCTTTCTGCCTACTTCATATTTTCTATACCTCTATCCAAAACAAGAGCCCCCCCAACACTGATATAATTGGTTTCTTCTATGTTTATATAAGTAATACATATCCATGTCCTCTGTGGAAACATTAAGAGAAACAGTGAAATACAAAGGAAGAAAACAAAAAGTTACCTATAACTCTCAATTCAGAGGTAACGATCCAAACACATGAATACAATATATTCCATTCTAAAAAAAGTGCTAAGGCATCAGTTAAAAAGCATATGAAAGACCTATATGTATCCTGAGGACTATGGTGTAAGAGGTGTTTTAGATCATTCTTTAATTTATATGTGAAAGTCATCATGAGGAAACAAAATGAATACAATGAAAAATTAAATGTCCTTCTCTCTCATCCTGAGGTGCAAGTCACACTGACAATTGCAGGCTCACAGAACATGACTAGGAAAGTTATCATCGCTGGAGTCACTGTCACCAAAAGAACTGTCTCCATATTCCTGGTTTCCTTCACAAAAACTACAAGAGGGCTCCTGTGGGGCAACAGACAGAGGCCTGCTGCGTCCCCTCAGCCCCATGGAAGTGAGTGGCATCACCGTGCCAGCCCTTCTAGCTTTGCTTCTACGGCACGGCCCTTCCTTGGGGGATGGGCGGATAAGACCCTGGGAAAGAGGCCGCTCCAGGCCGAGGGGAGCACTGCCACATCTGAGCAGCAGCCAGTCTTCTCAAAGCCTAGTTATCTTATAAAGTTACCTCTATCTGGGTAATTGTTATATTCTTATATTTAAAGACACTAGATTTTAAGATGCTATAACCCTCAAATACTTAATCTTACTAGTTTCGCTGCTATCTTCCAATTAGCAGTTTATTAAATTGAAAAGACCTCAAAAGTATTTGTACTTGATATTCACTCTAAGGTTAAAAAGTGGCAAATATGTTGCTAAATTAGATGATATAAGGTACCTATGTAGCCTCTTTCACATTTTCCTAAGGCAGTTTTTAGTTAACTTGAGAGTAGGGAGACTCATCCCCAAATGTGAACTTACGACCAAAAATGAGTAGACAAAAGAAACAGATTTAAAATAAAATCTATGTTGAGAACAATGAAGAGAGATGGGTTCTATGGGCTGAAAGATCTAAAGCCTATATTTAATAGCATTCTGTGCCTTCAGTAATCAACAAATTTCCCAAGACAGACAAATGATGCAATAAACTGCAGACCAGGGCCAAGGCGAGGCCACAGCCAAGCAGTTATAAATTTGAGAGGCCTCCTTACTTGTCTAGCAGCGAAGTTTTGGGGGTTGAGCCCTGTGCCGATTGCTCCAAGGCTGACGTTGGGTAGTGTGGAACCAGAGGGAGACAGCTTGTAGCTGGGAGAAGGGGAGAAGGGAGAGCAGGGAGCCTCATCCCCAAGGCACCCATCTTGATTGGAGAAAGGCAAAGTCAGCTGAAAAGTAGTAGTTAGCCAATCACAATGAGTGTTGGTTAGTGAAGCACCAGAATGTAAGAAGGGAAAAGAGAGAAAACACTAGGAATAAACAAGTTAGAGTGTATTAGCAATAAACCGGAGAGAATTTGGATCTGATAATAATTATCACACTTTGCCCAACAGACACCATCTGCCATCCTCTTTGACATAGATTTTTCTTATCCTCTAAGTTAGTAACACATTCTATCCATTGCACGAAGACAAAAATTGCCAGACACTTTATTTTTATGCATCTAATATTGATTACTCTTTGTGGCTGCTGAAATAGAAGCCAGAGTAATCTTGTGAATATACTGCTGTCTGAATTGGCATCAATGGTGTCAAAAATGTGTCAGATTTAAAAATTTTTATTTTAACTGCTTTCTGAAGACCACGAACCCTGTAAGCTGATATTCTGACTCAAGGAATAATCTCCATTAGAAATGTTAAAATTCAAAACAAATGAGTATCAATGACTTGTTTAAATCAGATAGTTGAGAATTTGAAATTATACCACTGTACTATATAGATCACGAGGGAAACTGAGAAAGATCTCACACTCACACACACACACACACACACACACACACACACACACACACACACACACAAACTCTCTTAGAATAGTAAAGGAGAATGTTTTGGGTCATCTTGACAGCTAGGAGGCAAGGCCTTAGGAGACACAGAGTATTTGCACAAAATCTTGAAATTTAATTTGTAAATGCACAAAAAGGAGCGGAAAAAAAAGAATTCAAAATAAAGTTTTCTCTAAAATTTCTTCTACCTGTTTTGAGTGTGCATTTCCCCCACCCCATGGAAAGTTGGACAATGCCCCCCCTCCAAACTTCATGAATTTTCCAAAAACTTAGACCTTCTTCACAATACTCACACCCACATCCAAAAGACAGATGGTTCAAGCTTCTGCCTAATCACCTGCTGACATCAACTGTTTTCATGTCACCATTTAAATCAGGTGATATTTATGTTTTGTTAATTAATTTAGTGCAGTAATTCTATGCTTCCTCCTGGAATTAATTATCAAAAGACAAATAGAAACCAAAGTGGTCCTCATGAATTATCTTAAATGATTCAACTCACCTTCTCAAAATAAGGCCCACTATCTGTGGTTCCCATGTCTTTGGAATTAGGTGGACGGAACCCAGATCGATCCTTTCTTATGATATCATTAAAATCCCCGAGATTCATTGCTCGCTTGTCCACATCAAATTTCTTATCTGTAAGGCTCCCTACAAGGTAACACAGAAGGAGTAAAAATTTCAAGAATCATTTTCTCCCTCATGACCAAGCTACCCCACTCTCCTCCTCCCTGGGTGCTGAGTGTAACTCCAGAAGAGTTCTTAATGGTTCAGGCTCCTGGTGATCCTCCCTGGAACACATGTGGGTTCTGTTTTCTTTTTTCCCCCAATTAAAAAAGAAAAGAAAAGAAAAAAACAGAATGCATCAGTTGTAGTTTGTTGTCTGTGGAAGACTGAAAGAGGGCCTTAGGGCTAACCTGGTTAAAAAACAATTTAGACTGGTTACTGATATGCTTGATGAGGATGTCTTGCTCATAAAGTCAAATGTCCTCCTGTTGCTAATATAGCATCTGTTAGAGATAAATGGTTGAGGGTCTGAAACACAGTTATTAGTAATAAAAAGATTCAAGTCACCTCCAAAATTTAGAACCTGAACACAGGAGATGGTATGCTACATTACTGGGCAATGCCACTTCCCAGGTGCAATGGTTATTTCTGCTTTTCTTTCACAGCTCTGTATTTTTGCCACTGTGCACTAACAGGATTAGTGCCTTAGGAAGCTTTGGTCTTAATTATTCTCATATTTAAAATACCACAGACCAAAGACTATGTCCTTATTAACCAGGACTGTTTTTATTTTCTTCCTGGCTTCAGGGTGATCAATAGCATCCTTTGAAGATCCCACAGAGGAAGAGCTGACCCTGCATCTGCTCCCCTGGGAATGGGAGAGTTTGTCAATAATGAAACATCCCAGGGCAGACAGGACTGGTAACCTGAGAGCTGAGTCTGGCAGGGCCACAGGCATATTTTTTTGGGCCACATATAGCATTTAAAAAAACTTGAATTAGTTTCCAATATTTAAGAATCAGGATATCAATAGATAGCTGAAATTTCTTCTGGCCTCTATTCAAAAATCAGAAGACCTGGCAGAGCTGAGCTGAGCTCCCCCACGGCAACAGCCACTAAGAGCTTAGCAAGGCGGGCTCCTTTAGGGACACATATGTTCCCTTCCGCTAACCAGGGCCTGCGCGTTCCAGTTCCTTATACCTGGCACACACCACTCATTTACATTGCTTTCTTGGCTCTTGCAGTCATTTGAGTTTTCAACCCCTACCTAGTGTCTGGCAACAGTACCTCTGACAGAGTAAATGTTCAATGCTTATGTCTATTGAACTGCACCCATCAAACTCAAACTGAGAAGGGGATCCCAACAGGATGCTGTCAACAACCATATCCCATTCGTATTAGTGGAATGATACACACCTACAGACAAATCCATTTTGCTGCTTGGATTATCTTCAGCTTGACTCTGAAAAGTAAAGGAGAGTGAGGCAAAATTAAAGATTTGAATTAAATGTTTGAATCACAGAAGAGATGGCATTATTCATGTAAGAGTCACATCTTACTACTGGCACTATACAAGGTCCTTTGGAAAGAAGATGATACCATTTTTTGCCCTGACCAATGTGGCTCAGTTGGTTGGGCATCATCTCGCAAAGTGAAAGGTTGCTGGTTGTATTCCTGGTCAGGGCACATACCTGGGTTTTGGGTTCAGCCCCTGGTTGGGGTGCATACTAGAGGCAACCATTTGATGTTTCACTCTCACACTGATGTTTCTACACCCCTTTCGCCCCACTTTCCCCCTCTCTAAAAATAAATAAATGAAATCTTAAAAAAAAAAAAAAAAAAAAAAAGACGGTAACATTTCTGACTAATTTGATTGCTGCTGCCTATATTCCTAAATTCAATTTTCACATAACATTAGCTTCACTAAATCTATGGACAGAGCAATAGCTAAACAGCTGCTTGTAGAAATAAACCCCTGTCCTCAGGTTCCAGTCGGCTCAGAATCAAATTTCACAAGTGGCAGCCAAATGATGACAACTTCTTCTCGTGACTTGTCAAGTCATCAAATCTTGAAATGTGCAGCCAAGTCAAAGTCATTTGTCTTTTGGCAACCAGGGACAGGCTGTCCCCATAATGTTCCCAAGAGATTAAAAAAATTAGAAATTCTACAAGAATTGCCTATATAATTAATCACAAATAGTTTATCTTGCTGTTATCCTTTTAAAAATGATAATATTAAAACTGGTACAGTAGTCAGAGAAAACTATATAAATTTTAAGTGCCTGTCTCTTTCTTCCCTGTCTAAAGGCTACAAGGATTATAAATTAAAAACAAAAACAAATGTTAGCCTTTAAATATTGGAATATTTCATTAAGAATTAAAGAATAGAGAACAAATACTGTTTAATCCAAATCAGGAACATTGCTTAACCAGTTTCTAAATCTGTAATTTTGTACTATAAGTGGTCTTAAAATTTGTACTAAAAGTTGGGATACATTACACATATGAAAAAATAAAACTTACCAACAATCCCATATTTGAAAACTGTTTGGCAAGAGGATTCATCCATGAATCATTGTTTCCTCCTTTTAGTGAGCACTACGGAAATGAAATATGTAACCTCAGAACCAAATAATTCATTTTCTTTTCAATTCATATCTGAGTTACATAGTACTGACTGAAAATGTAAAACCAAGAGTTTACCTTTTTGAACCCTAATTATTCCTTTTAACTCTTAGTCTAAAAGAGTGATAAGCATGTTATTTTGTCACAATGAACTAGAAGTAACTGGAAAAATATACATTCAATATCAGATTTTCTGAATTATAATGTTTGCATGCTAATAGTTTCCCTTTTAGTAGCTTCTTATACCCGAAGCCAGTTGATATCAGGAGGAAAACAAAGTTTGATGCCAGTGTATGCTATCTGGAAAGAAGCCTAATTACACTGGTTATTATTTTCGGTGTGCACCCATGCTGTAGCAAATCATCTGTTTGCTTACCAGTATAAAAGATATGGGTCCTCAATGGGAAAGAAGCCTAGCTGGTCTTACTGAAAAATAAGGCAGACATGGGTTTTTGTTTCTTTCTTAATGGGACAAATTAGTTTCTCCCCTGAACAAAACACTGATCACCAGCTTCACTTTTACTTCTTGGGAGAAAGCAAGTGGAACTTACGATGGGGGCTTGCTGGCACTTTGTACATTCTGTAGTTGAAAAATTCTGTTTGTGTTCTGATGGTATTTGTCATATCGATTTTATTATTCTTGAAAGTAATAAGGTACTTAAGTTCAGTTAAATGTTTTAAGGTAAACCCTCATTGGAGAGAGGGGAGAAGTGGTAGTTACTGTTTGATGGGCACAGTGTTTTGCAAGATAAAGAGTTTTATGGACAGATGGTGGTGACGGCAGCACAACAATGTAATATACTTAATGCCACTGAACTGTACATTTAATAACAGTTAAGACAGGACTTCCAGCCAAGATGGAGGCGCAGGTAAATACACCTGGCCTCCTTGCACAACTACAGCAAAAATTACAACTAGATTACAAAATGAGTATCACCCAGAATTGTCAGAAAATTGAGCTGTGTGGAAGTCTGACAATCAAGGATTTAAAGAAGCCACATTCATCTAGACATGTGTGCTTTTCTACAACAGGCCATGCTACTACGACAGGAAGTCAAAGCAGCTCTACCTAATACACAGAAACAAACACGAGGAGGCTGTCAGAATGAGGAGACAAAGAAATATGGCCCAAATGAAAGAACAGAAACCACAATGAGATATCACCTCAGACTGCTTTAAATGGCCATCATTAATAAATCTACAAACAAGTGCTGGTGAGGATGAGGAGAAAAGGGAATCCTAGTGCACTGTTGGTGGGAATACAGACTGGTGCAGCCGCTGTGGAGAACAGTATAGAAATTCCTCAAAAAAAAACTAAAAATGGAACTGCCTTTTGACCCAGTGATTCCACTGCTGAGATTATACCCTAAGAATCCTGAATCACCAATTAAAAAGAACCTAAGCACCCCTATGTTCACAGCAGCACTATTTACTATAGCCAAGTGCTGGAAACAGCCTCAGCGCCCATCAGTAAATAAAGTGGATCAAAAAATTGTGGTACATTTACGCAATGCAATACTATGCAGCATAGAAAGAAAGAACTCCGCCACTCTGTGACAGCATGGGTGGAATTGGGGAACACTATGCTAAGTGAAATAAGCCAGTTGGTGAAAGACAAGTACTGTATGATCTCACTTACAAGAGGAATCTAATGAACAAAATAAGCTAGCTAACAAAATAGAACCACAGGCATGGAAACATGGAGCAGACTGACAGTGACCAGAGGGAAGTGGGGAGGACAACGGTGGGAATGAGGGGGAGGGACTAGCAGAAGAAAACGTATGAATGACCCACGGACATGGACAACAGTGTGGGGATTGACTATGGAAAAAGGGGAAAGGAGATGGGCAGAGGAGTGCAAAGGGGGAAAAACTGGGACAACTGTAATAAAATAACAATAAAAGTAAGAAAATTCTTCAAGAACATGGAAAAATGATGAAGATAGTAGATTTTATGTTAGCTGTATTTGATGACAATTTTTAAAAAAGGCCCTCAATATGAAAAGTCAGAGTCATCACTCACTTAGCAGAAACATTTAATTCTCAATTACCTTAATTAAGTCTCAGTGGTTACCTGAGTGGGCCAGTATTTTTTCACTCAATTGCTTCCTTTCAATCAACAGTATTCTGAACTATCTTTCAATTTGATTTCATTGTTAATTTGTAAATAACAACAACAAAAAAGCCATAGCATGCTCGACAACATGAGTACAAAACTGCTGAATACTACCTTCCTATTGTGACTAAAACAAGAAAATAAAAGTCCTTAAAAAGGGAAATGAGTGCTTAAACAAAATGTCTAATAGCAACAACCTGTATTCTTATGCTATAAAAGAGTCACTGTATGAAGAACAAAATTAATATCCTGTAGGTTAATGGGATGAAGGCACAGCCCTTAGCCAGCTGAAGACCTAAGATGACATCTGGTATTTGAAACCTGGGAGGACATTCATTGTTAAGTGTTTCATAGCATAGCAAGGCTCCCGTGCTGAAAGTAAATATATGGCTGCCCATTTCTTATTTCCATCAATTTATCTGTGGAATGAAAGACTGTAATGAAAAAAGAGTGCTTCTGCTGAGAGTAGTTCAGGTTTGAAGACTACTGATCTAGATTGAAAACTGAAGTTCTCCCATGGACAAAGCCAAAGTGGGAAAGGATTCAGGGTGGGAGGTGAGGGTGGGTGGGGCAGGGGAAAGTGGTGGCGGGAAAAATGGAGACAACTGTATTTGAATAAAATAATAAATTTAAAAAAGAAAAAAGAAAACCAAAACTTCAACAAACTATGCAAATCCAATGAGAAACTGAGCCGTTCTAAGACATGCAAAGGGAAAAGTTGACAACACAACCTATCACAGGAGGTATATAAATCACTTAGTTGCTGCAGCAGGGTTACGCACTGGCTTCATTTTGTTGGGAAAAGGGTCTGGGCCTTGGATTTCCTGAATTAGAAAAAAACCAGCCATGCCGATGCCACCTTACTTTGGTTTCTATACATATTCATGTACTCTAAGGACTTCCTTGGCGTTAGAACACATAAGCATAAAACATTCAGAAAGAGTGCCTTGAAAGCTTCCAAAGAATAATTATAATATGGAAACTAAAAGTAAAAAAAAAGAAACAAAACCAAAACACAAAAAACCAAAACAAACCCAAAAAACTCCTATCTTTGAAAATTCCATTTTACCTATTGCAACAGTTCTGCAGTCTGTGGTTTCGAAGACATGGGGAAGGAAAATGAGGGGTAAAGAGGAAGTAGTTATTTGTTACAAGTAACCTCAGGGACTCCAGCTGCCCTACTTCTTCCATTAAAAATTCTCAGTTCTGCCTTCTAAGAACAAATAAGCAAGCTCAAATATTTCTAAAGCAGGCTACCTTCATTTGTTTTTTTCCTCCTTGTCCCCAGCTTGCTGAGTTGTGGGAGGAAGCACTTCCCTGAGAGCCGGCCGTGTTCCAGACTCCTCCGTCATCCTCCTCTTCCCAGCTGGGATGGCGAGTTCCTGTCACTGGCCCGTCACTCTCCCCCCAGCCGTCTTGCATAGATTTGGAATCTTTAAGAAAAGAATGAATAAACTGTATGCAATAGCTATATAACAATAAACACAATAATCATTCCTTGTAAATACAAAATGTAATTTTATCTAATAAATCTATATGACAAGGAAAATATTATTCATATGTTAGAGAGCAGGAAATGGGAACCCATGAAAGTTCAATGATACAGAGTAGGTTAAGAAACCACAGAATTAAGACCTACTGACTCCTCATTCAATGATCTTCCCCTTCTACAAAGTTTACGACAAATTCCAAAACTGGAAGAAACCTATTACTACTTAAAAGAAATTTCCCATTTCAATTAAGAGAAATCTGTTCCTCGTAAGGATCATGCTTTACCTTCCTAAAAGTACATTGTGTGATTTATAATGGACACTTCAAATATGAGGTATGAGAAAGAATACCTGTCTACCTTGTTTGGTTAAGGTTAAGAAAAAAACATGAAAAAGGGAAGAAAAAGAGAAAATATTGTTAGATTTCACATATCAATATTATGGTGAAAGAGAAACTCATAATCATAAAAATTTGAACATTATTAATTTATATACTTGAAATGTGTTAAATGCTAAAAAAGATTCTAGGCAAAACAATGTGTAAGCAATGTCTTCAGACCTTAAACCTTCCACCTTAAAGAACCGGTGGAAGAAACTGGAAGACAGAATGGGGAAGGAAGGAAGGAAAACAGAAATCACAGATGAGGGGCTCTAACGTTTGAGAAAGTACAATGTCAGTATCCAACTCTACCAACATCCCCATCTAAACACAGATCTTTAATTTGGAGATTGGAATAAATCCTTAACCTCCTTCTAAAAATACTATATGAAACGGAAGGATACATTTTGTGGTAGAGACTCTATAAAATGATGGAAGAAGGGAAAATGCACTATCTTGCCTAGAAACCTCCACCCACATCCTCACTTTACCAAATGATAGAACATTTATGGAAGAGGTAGTTATTTGATTTAAATACCTTCATAGGAAGAGTCTAAAGTTAAAAAAGTGACTCTTTCCTTGAATGATGATGCCACCCCCTAGGACCAGGCCTATGACAGCCATGAAGGCACCCATGAAGGACACAGAGCACAAGGCTGTTGGTGTCTTCTAACTGCAGCACCATCCCCCCTGCAGGGCCCAAGCGAACCTGATGGATCCTCTCTGGGGTTCATCCAGCCTTACATGAAAGGCTTTTTGACAGGAGAGCAAGAGGCAGGGCTTTGGGGCTATTCTCCCTGCTACTGGAAATGCCAATGATAACAGGGTAGTTTCTTCCACATATGAGATTATTCATTATTATGTAAGCATAGGTCTTATACTACCCTTTGACAAGCAACAGAAATTAAAAAGCCAATATAAATAACATACTGACCCTTTTATAAAAACAAAAACGTGCAAGATAAAAAAGATAACTTATTTTTAGGCATAGATATCTGCAGACTATGAACAGTATCAGTTGACAGGCTGGGATGACTTCAATCCCTTCCTGAGTATTACACATTCAGAACACCCAGAGAAAGGTTACCTACAGCTATGATACAGATGATCCTGTAGAGTAGAGAACATTTTTAATATCTAGAAAAAAGTGAGGTTTTTAAAAAAGATTTTATTTATTTATTTTTAGAGAGAGGGGAAGGAAGGGACAGAGGGAGAGAAACACTGACGTGAGAGAAACATCGATTCTCCCTCTCCCATGTGCTATGACCGAACCCGCAACCAGGCATGTGCCCTGACCAGGAATCAAACTGGCGACCTTCTGCTTTGTGGGATGATGCGCAACCAAGTGAGCCACACTGGTCAGGGCAAAAGTGAAGGTTTTTATGATGAAAGAAAGGTGATTTTGAGGCTGGGAAAGACATAAAAATCCTGAAAGTACTGCTGAAGTACTCCTATGTGCCAAGAGTCTCTCTTCATGTCTTCCAACAGCTTTTTGAATCTATTTCAAGTCTACAGAATGGTTGTTCCCATGACAATACTACTGATTTTACAATGAAGATCAAAGCCTTTATAAAGCTGTTTCTATGAAGTGGAAGAGAATACTTAATTTTAAAAATGCAGTCAAGTTATATATAGAATATACCTAAGATCATAATCCTTTATGTAGCACTATAAGAGTCCTAAATATCATACAATAAATGACAACTTTTGGAATTTTTTTATTCTTGTTCAAATTTTGAGCATTCAGTATGACCACCTTTTTAAGTCAAGACAATTCCTTAAGTCTACAATGCAGTAGAAAAGATATGTTGGAATACTTTTTAGGAAAACTACAAACAAGTGAAAACGGGCATTTGAAATTGAAATTTTCAACTGAGGAACATCTACTGAGACATTCCAAAGCACCAGTTTACAAAGTTTTGCAAATTACCGTGACTACACATTGCCAGCTGGATCAAGTATAGCTTAGTTTAGATTTTCAATGACTAAGAATTTAAGTATGATGTGTTTTGTTTAAAAAAATTCAAATGAAGAAGTCTTTGTTAGGTTCAAGAAACTACACATTCCTGTGTGAGTGGATGTATGGGAAGAGAGACAAAGGCAAAAGGAAGAAACAGAAAGATGAAGTCACGGGGCAGCAGAGGCTATGTCCCACCTTAATAACCAGGAGACGCTCTAAATTATGTTAACAAAAGAGCAGAAATGCAAAATAGATGTGGACAGCAATATTTCAGTTACTGGTTAAGAAAAGTAACACATAAACATTTCAATTCTGGCTAGATACTACACCTAACTTAAAATATCATCAACAAAATTCACTTGTGACTTTCAGTTCACTGTAAACATTTTAACATTTGCCAATTCAAGTCACCACTGTTTGCTACTAACCATTTATTACGAGGTTCAAAGTCTCAAATCTCATTGTAACAACAGTTTAAATGCTAAACAGCCCCCTAAAAAGTCTGACCCTCAAATTAAAAGAAAGTCCCTCAAAAGTAACAGTGTATACTTACTAGATTTCATGGCATTTGGAGTGTTGGAAGGTGCATTCCCCCAGCCTGTGGTCGATGCTCCTGTGTCTTCCATTTCGCCCCACCCAGGGCTGCTTTCATTTGGCTCACCCCAAGCTGAAGTACCATTGTCAGGAGCAGGTGGTGTGCTTTTGCTCCAAACTGTAAAGACAAGAAATGTGTCTCTAAGAAAGATGTGTTAAATGGAACACAGTAATATCCAGTGGGGGTGAAGGAGAAAGGAACAAGCATGCTGAAAAATGTAAGTTCCACCTTCAAGGAGGGCATTTGGCAGCATCACTTTTGGCCCAGTAATTCCACCACCAGGAATACCAGTTATAAAAGTAGATGAAATTACATATACAACAATGCCCACTGCATCACTGTTGAAAACCATTTGGAAGCAACCTAAATGTCTATCAAAAAGGGACTGATTAAAACAATTGTGGATCACCCATAAAATAAATACTATATATGAAGCAATTAAAAAACAAAAATTGTACATGGTAATAGGGAAAGTTTTTACGTATAATGAAAAAGCAAGGCGAAGAAGTGTACATACCATATTTTGCCACGCATAACGCACCCCCATGTATAATGTGCACCCATGTTGTCGTGCACACTCTACATGGAATTATATAGTTGTTATACCCATGTATAATGCACTCTTACTTTTCTCTAAAAAATTTGAGCAAAAAAGTGTGCATTATACATGGCAAAATACAGTACTATGCTCCCTTCTGTGTAAAATGATTAAAGGACAGATGTATTTTGATATAGGCATGAACAAAATGTTTGAGTAAGACACAGAATCCCAAGAGATTACCTGAGGGGAGAGACCCTAGGGGCTGAGTCTTTTATTTATCACCTTTTGCTATTCTGTTCAGTTTGAAGGTTTTTACTATACAGTCATCCTTCGGTATGGGCGGCGGGGGGGGGGGGGGGGGGGTGGCGGAGAGACTGGTTCCAGGACCAAAATTCATGGATGCACTAGCTCTTTATGTAGAATGTAGTAGTGTTTGTATATAACCTATGCACATCCTCCAGTATTCTTTAAATCATTTTTAGATTAGTTACAATACCTAAATACAATATAAATACTACATAAATAATTGTTATATTGTATTGTTCAAGGAATAATGACAAGAAAAAAAGCTTGTACATGTTCAGTACAGACGCAACCATCATATAGGCCTAACTGTATAGTATGTAATAATGTAATTCTGGATTTTTGTTTTTCCCCAAATATTTCTGATCAGTGGTTGGTTGAATCTGTGGGTGGGGAATAAGCAGATCTAGAGGGCTGACTACATGGATAAAGTTGTGTGTGTTTTTTTTTTAATGGGTTAGCAGGTTTTATTCTAGATAAGGAATTAATGAACAATCTTCATTTCTTTCCTCATTCTTTTCGGAATTTGAGGAAAAAAACCAAACCAGTTAAAACCAATCATTTTGTAAGTGGCTGTAACTGGATCCACTGAACACTAGGCTTACTTTGGGGAGAGGAAATTGAGTATCATGATTAATTTTAACTAAGAAAAACACTTGAGTGGTGTGTCTCCTTAGTTTGTTGAACTATATGCTTTAGGGGGGCATTCAAGTTGATAATGCCAAACCAAAAATGGTATTACCAGCGCTACTTTTAATATACTAGGTTTGGTGTTTCCTATTAGAATAAGGTGGAAAGAAATGTAAACTCAGGACAGATTATCATTAGATAACAATCTCATACAAAGTACTCTACTTTCAAAGGCGATCGTTAAAATTATCTGGAGAGTGACCAAAACCTTCCAGGTCCTAGCTCTGCTTCAGACTTCTGAGGGCCTCTGCAAGAGCCACACACACTCCTTCCCTTCAATGGGGAAAGAGAACAGGGAGGAGGTGGCCGTGGGTAGAACCAGAATGGAAATCAGGTCTACTCCTGCTACTATTTTAATTCTTTATTTTTAAATCTAGAGCATAGTTTGTTTAGCAAGATACAAGTCTTTTGGGTTCTGCAGACCAATACAACTACAAAAAATAATCTTGGGAGACTAACACAGGGATACCATCTTTTCCTATTGCCAAGAAAGAACATTAAAAAATACCACCAGGATCTGTTATCACTACCATTTTATAAAAGCAGAGTTTCTTTAATGCAGGAAAGATTCCCAGAACACAAAGTTGAGTAAATGCAGCTTAATAAAAATGCCTTGGTTTAGGATTTGTTTTCTTCATCAAAACCTGCAAGAAAAACCACTGCCTACCTGATGCTGATTTACTGGTCATCGGGGTAGGCAGGTTTGGTTCTCGAGGTGCTGGGCCCCCTTGGGAATTCTTATCCCACAGATTCACATTCTTGTAGTTGTAACTGTTGGGGTCTCCCCATGCTGAAGTGCCATCATCAATGTCCATTTTCCGACTAATTGACTGTGGGGATGGTTCTTCCCAACCACTGGGTTCCTCATCCTTAGAGGGTACTGGCTGTGGCCCACTGCTCCAGTTGGAATTGGAAGGTCGTCCGTTGCCTGGAGGTGGTGGGGGTGGGCCGCCCCATGAACCAGAAGCCTCTGGTTGTGGTGGTGGTGGCTGCTGTGGCTGCTGCTGCTGTTGGTGCTGTTTATTCCAGGAACTGGGCTGTCTGCCCGTCTCAGTCCATGCTGGAGACCTTTTGCAATCTTCCCAACCACCTTTAGAAGCGAGGCTTGCATTCCCACTGTTCCCCCAAGTTCCAATTTCATTCTGCCCTCCTTCGCCCCAGCCAGACACAGGTTTACTTGCAGAACTTTCCCAATTGCTGTTTTTTGCTTGATCAACTTCTTCTCCCCAACCATTCTTTCCAGAAGTCCATCCTTGATTGGGCTGGCGCCCACCTCCCCACCCCTGATCCTTGCTGGAATTCTCATTCCAAGAAGAAGTCTTTTCTTCTGGTCGTCCTCCTCCCCAATTGGCAGAGTTGTTGTTCTTATAGTCATTCCAGCCTCCTGTGTTCTTGGGGTCTTTCCACTCTGTAGAGGCTGAGAGCTCCCCCCATCCAGACTTCATTTGATTGCTTTGGCTGGGTGCGTCTCCCCAGCCCCCTGAGTTCTTGGTCTGTGTGGCAGCGCTCTCCCACCCCTCAGTTCCTTTGTCAGATTTCCCCTCAGGCCTTGGCACCTCTTCAATATCCCACACTGTGTCCTGCTTAATTTGAGTTTGGCCCCAGCCAGTGTTTGAGAGCACCCGGGGGTCCAAATCAGTTCGGCTCAAAAGAGTCTGCAAGACAGCCTGACAATCAGGATGTGTGGGTCTATATGACCGACGGCCAGAATTATGACTGTCACTACTTCCTGCTTTGTGGTTGCTTCCAGTGCTTTGACCTCCAACTTCACTTCCTGTGGAGCTGGAAGATCTTCCCCAACAGGGAGCCTGGGCATTGCCTTGGTTTTCAGGGAGGGGGTGGCCCTTTTGATTGTCCCATGCTCCAGTGCTAGAATTTGGTTGGTTTGGACCACTCCATTCTCCAATTTTCAACTCATCAGACCCAGTCGGCTGTTTCCATTCTCCCTGAGAGACCCCAGATGTCATTTTGTTCCCTTCACCCCATTTGTTGTCATTAGAGTCCTGAGGGCCAAAGTTCCAGGACCCACCCGTAGACCTGTTATTATTGTCCCAAGAGTCATTTTTTGACCCAGTTGACTTCTGAGCAGAAGCTCCTTTCCAGGAGTCCTCTCTATCCTTTCCATTGTTCCCATTGTTTCCAGGATTGCTTTGTCCAGAGGCTGTGTCAGTTCCAGAAGGCCCCCTAGCTGCACCCCAAGATCCAACACTCCCAGTCTTTCGATCTCCAGTGCTTTGTGGAGGGGCATCAGTGCTCCTGGAGGCGTTCCCCAAGCCCATTCCAAAGGGCATTCCCTTATTCTCCATGGGGTTTGGTGAACTTAAGTTCAAGGAGTTAGTGTTTCCATTTTTTGGTCCATCAGTGTTATGAATTTGAGCCTGTTCTCTGCCAGAGACAACAAAATTGACACCCGCATTTTCCATCTTTGACTGCTGTTCCCTGGATGCCTGACCTACTGTGCTAACCTGCGCGCTGGAATTACTAGTATCTGTCTCCAATGCCCCCTTCCTAGAAGCTCCTTCTTGGACCAGCGCTGGCCAGGCAGATGGGTTGCTATTTGGGTTAAAGTTGCTGAAGCCAGAGCCAGGTCCAATTCTATCCTGACCACTCACATTCCTCCAGTTTCCTAGTCCATTGTTGCTCTCTGCAGTAGAGCTGGAAGTTTGAACAGATTTAGCCTTCGGGTCAGATTTCCAGACCCCAAGATTACATTCGTTCCCAGAACTTGCAGACTGGCACTGGCTCCCTTTTCCTTTGTTACTAGTGGTGCTTCCTGGCAGAGTGCTCTTCTCAGAGCCAGGGTTCGAGGCACTGTTGTTATCGGTGGTGTTTTCGGAAGAAGACTCAGTGTCTTTGCTGGCAATACAAGGCCACTCTTCCATGTCAGACCCGTCTACAATCACCTTGTCCCAGATGTGAATTGGGTTGGGGGAGGCGCCGTTGTTGGAGGAGGCTCCCGGGCCCCAAGTGGAATTTGCATAATTTGAAGCAGCAGCACCTCCAAGGGTTGACTCTGGGAAAGAGATTATCTTATCAATCACAGATACATATACACAATCTATTAACATCTCAAACTGAAACTGTCCCCAAGAGAACTCATCACATTTCCCCACAAACTAGCTTCTCCACCCAGTTGCCTGCCTTGGCTAACTCTATCACACCTGTGTTAGTCATTTCTTCTCTTTTGTCTTACTTGACAAAAATAAGGTTGCTAAGTCTAACTCCACAACATCTCTCGAAGCTATCCATTTGCCCTTCCTGCTAACAGAGAAGTGTCTTCTTGTAGTGAGACAACATCCTGCTTGCTCTATATCCCCAATCTACCTTAAATACTCCTGGCTGTTTTCTAAACACACCTTTCAGGGAGTTTTTTAAAGCACACCTTTCATTATAGCACTGCTGTATGAAACACCTTCAACAGTTCCCTATTGTACAAGAACAAAGCTAAACTCTTTGGTATGGAGTTTGATCAAGATATCCCACAACCTGGGACCAAAAACTTTTCTAGTCTTGTCTGCTAATTCCTATGCGGATGTCTACATTCCACACTACTTGATGTCCTACAACCTGTGCCTTCTTACCCAGGCATCCTTCCATATCAACACTTACTGCTTTTCACTCCTGAATTCATACAGTAAAATTTGCCCATTTTCCTAGTTAGTTCCAGTGCCATTGTTTCTCTCAAGTTTTTTTTTAAGCTTATCACCAGAACATAGTCTTTTCCTGTCTAGAGCCATTTCAATCAGTGCTAGAACGCTGTGTTCATGTCTCCCCTCTCTCGTGTGAGCGCTGTTTAGGCAGAGGCCCTATCTTGCTGAGTCTGAGTCCCAGCGTCCAGCACATCACTTGCTCAGTGAGCTTCGGCGGAATACGAGCACCTGCCCAGGTGGATGCTGGGGCAGACAAGCATGAATCAGTCTGTGTGCCCAAGGAGCTGAATTTGGTGAACTGGTTTGGCTCAGCACATGTTCTGGTGGGATTTACTATGTTTGGCAGAAAAAAAAAAAATGACATGATTTAAATCCGATTATTTCTTCTAAACTTACTCAGTTCCTTTATCCAAGCAGCTTATCAATATGAAGTTGAAAAAAATATTACATAAAACCATGCAAGAGTAAGAAAGCACAGAATCTAAAAATCCTGAGACTTAGAGGCCTCCTTGGTTTTAAGAATGTAAACAGGAGATTCTGGCTCATACTAGACCCATGTCGACATCCAGGCCTGGCAAGACTGGGTTGCAGAAATGTCTGACATGGCCGTCCCTCACATACTTCCTTTTATATCTGGTTACGAGGGGCCAGGAGGCCTTTCCCTGCTGGCTTTGGGCCTGGCCTGATGGGCACCACAGGGAAGTCTCGTGCATCATGGTTTCTCTGCACGAAGCCTAGATCACACCAGGCTTCTTTGCACCCTTACTCTGCACACGAGACAGTGAGAGAATTTTTCAGGCAATTCTATATTCAAACTTACGAGAACAAAGCAGCCTGCTGTTAACAACCACAATTCATTGTCCTTGCCAATGCTTAATGATGCTCCAACTCTGAATTTTAACACAGTCTCAAAAAAATATCTTAAGAGATAGTTGAAATCTGTTAATGAACTAAAAAAAGTCTTTGGAAGTTCTTAGCTGTTAACTGATTTAGTATTCACACACACTGGAAAAAATCTCAAAACTTCTGGTAGAACCCTGTAGCTAACAATCCTTGTATCTACATAGTTTTTAATAGTGCTCAAATTCAGGGCCTGCTAAAGAAACACTGTTTTTATAAAAGCTAATAAAAGACTGTAGATGATATTATTTGGTATCCTCCCAAGATTCCACAGAGTAATCTAAAAGACCATTATCTCTATCTGCTGAGCATTCTGGGAGCATGAACATGAGCATCTAAGATTCAGAACACACTCTTGCACAAGTCCCATTTCCAATCATACTTGAGGCATACACTTGTGGCAACAGCTGGAACTATGGAGGCTTGAATTTGTAATGCTGTTGTCTGAGAAGGGAAAAAAAGGCTCCAAAGAGTGATGACAAAGGAGTATGCTAGCCTCTTATGCCAAGAACACACACTCACTGGAGGCTAAAACCCTGTTTTGGAAGAGAAATGCTGATATACAATTCATACTGGGATTCTCTCCCATCTTCTGAATAACCTCAGCAGTCTATATAATTAATGTTTTTTGTGGACTTTACACCAGGCAATACAAAAGAAGTGCCATCCCTCTTCCCTCTCTAAAGCTGCCATGAATTCCAGTCACCAACTCCAGTTCCTCACCTGGCGCAGTCCCGCTCTCACTCTGCAGCAGCGTTCCTGTCACTTGTGCGTTGTTTGGGTTTGCTCCAGGTGCTGTGGAGGGAGGAGGCCCTGCCCCACCCCCAAGGAGCATGCAGGAGGGTGGAGGGGGCTGCCCACGTTTTAGTAACACTTTGTGGTCCTGCTGGCAACGGAATCGCGGCGGCACCTCCCGAGGCATGTAGCGGGCGGCGCTTGGCGGTTGTCCGTTCGGCACTGCCACCCTTTTGGCATTGTTGCCACCATTGACTGGTGGCGATGGAGAGCTGCCAATTGGGCTGGCGGCCGTTGGTTGGCTTAAACTTGGTTTCGTCACTTCGGGCACTGAAAGACAGAGATTGGGAAACAAACTCTGAAATCAAAGAATACATTTTTAAGAATGTTTACGTGGAACCAACTGCAATAAGACAACCACTCTTTCATCCTATTCTCGATGGACATGGTCTTTCCAAACTGCCTTCATGTTACTGAAGGTAGGGTGGAGGTAGTGGATGAGGGTGACAAGGATCAAAGACAGCAATAACAGGGAATTCCATTTCCTTGACTAAGAAGGAGAGGCAAGCAACCCTACTCACTCCCCTAAATCAATAGTGGAATTCCCTGAAGGGCTGTCTTGCAGGTCTAAGGGTACATAAGGTCCCCAGGCAAAGTCCTTGGTGAAGGTTCAAGGCCTGTCCCATCATCCACTTTCTTAAAGACCAACCTCTGAGAAACTTTTCTGGAAGTCCCTGGACTAGGAAGGCTCAGCACCCTTCACTTATGCTCCTGCAACACGCTGTTCATCTCTCTTTACCACTGAATTTACCATATTACATTGAAATTCTCCCTTTATAGGTTTCTCTCCCTTACCAGGCCATCTGTCCTGCAAAGGCTGAGACCCATCTTTCATCATTTTTAATTAAGGTCTGCAACAAGGAACCTCAATCTAGAGAGTCCCAAAGTCAACTTGTTGGTTCCCACAGCCATCTGAACTCAGAGACTCCTGCTTGGCACTGTGTGTAAATATTAGAAACATTATAAATCTTTTTGCTTTGCACATACCCCCTATTTTAAGTGTATCTTGCATTTATCCGAAACTATTTAAAATAAAAATTTCAAAATGTAGGTACTTTCCCTATTGACTTCAAAAGTAATTTAACGTTCTTGCTTACTTTTAAAAATGACAAAAGGAAGTGTGGGAATGTGCTGGACGACCATTAAGCTACTCTCTACAGGGCCCTCTGGCTCAACCCTACGGAGGCCGTTCTTCTGGACCTGCACCTCCCTTGTTTCGCCCTACCAAAACACTGCCGCCCCCTCTCAGAAAACTTGCCTAGCCAACAGAGGCTGGCAGTAATGCAGAAACAATCATTGGGCCTGGTAATTCGGATGGCTCTGAGGCCAAAATCTCTGATATCCAGAGTAATGTTAGGGTCAGCTCTGGTGGCAACACCATTCTGACTGCTGGAATGATGATGTGCCAGCATGTCGCGCAGTGAACAGGCTCCTTTATGAGGGAGATACATAATCAGAAATTAGGGGGCCTGCTCTGTACCCACCAAGCACTGGTGAGTACTCTGAGTAACAGGAAAAGTGAGAAGATATCTGATAAAACTTCAGGGCAACTCTTGGGTCGAATGGTAGCCCATCAGGAGACTGTGCTGGGCCTCCCAGTAAGGAAGTGAGGTCAGAGGACTCATAATCTGATGAGCAGAGGGAACACAGGACTTGAGAAAATAAACTGGTCATTGTCTGATTTAAAAAAAAATATTTTATTTATTTTTAGAGAGATGGGGAGAGGGAGGGAGAAAGAGGAGAGAAACACCGATGTGCGAGAGATACATTGATAGGTTTGCCTCTCGCACACCTCCAATTGGGACGTGGCCCAAAACCCAGGCAGGTACCCTGACAGGGAATTGAACTGGTGATCTTTTGTTCTGCAGGCTAGCACTCAATCCATTGAGCCACATCAGCCAGGGCCATTGTCTAATATTTTTAACACAGTAGACTCTGGGTGAGCTAAAAGAGGCAATGGATAAATAACTGATCCAAATTGATAAATAAAGATGGGTTACTTAATGATCCATTTTTCTATCTATGCCTGGAAGATTCTATACCACATGGCATTCTCAATCCCCTTTCCTCATCATGAGAATAAACAAGAAGCTGGCAAGGGCTGGGGGGATTCTTTACAAGTCATTTTTGGGATGGAAGGGGCTATGTTTCTGTGAGACTGTTCTTCTATAGAAGGGCTAGAGTCCTCACTCTAAGTTAAGTAGGTCTATTACATGCCTTGATTCATTTTCCTAAGCTAGAATAAGACACAGTAAGACCAGCCAACTGGACTGAGGTCTGAACCTGGTTCGACTGACTCTACGTCACTCACAGCACAACCGAAGAAATCTGGTGAGTACTACGCACTGGGCAAGATTCCCTGCTAACGCTCCTTGAGGCATTTTGCCACCATCACATCTGACATGGAGGGGATCATAAGTCATTCTTTACTCACCAAACCATTTATTTATTCTAAGGGCTGAATCTTTTCCCCTTCCCTGTTGCCTTAATTACCTTATACCATTCTCATCTCACAGTCTGAACTTCTAATTGCCTCCATTTCTGAAATATTTTAGCTTTGATAGCCATATATGATCTTTGTCCTGACGGCTCATCTAACACCACCGCTCCTAACCAGGTTCAAATCTTCATTACCTCTCATCTGGGAACCAACCCTTACCACATGTTGTTGATACTTCACATTCATTCTCTCTCTATGGAAGGCCAGTTCCATCTCTAACAAATGTGTCCCTACAAGGTGTGAGGGCTACTGCATGTAATTTAGTTTATAAATTATTTACTTGAGGAAAACCCCTCACCTCAAATATTAATAAATTAGACTAGACTCAAAAATGATCCCAACCACGAATACGCAATGACTGTAATGTGCCTTCTGGAAGAGGCTCAAAAGACAGAGCTGTGGCCAATGACTGCAATGGTCCATCACCCCAGGGGTGCTGACAGAAAGGTGCTGTCCCTCAGCTGTGTCCCGGGGGGCAGAGGTTATGAATTACTGCTTTGGACAATACTATCTAACTTTTGAAACTTATGTTGAGCTGGATATTTCTCCCTGTTGCTTTCACTCACCACTGTTACTTCTAGAATGAGAATATGTCTAAGTCTTTGAAGTCAGTTATTGATCCTCCCCAGGTGGGAAGCCTTGGTTCACATTTCCTGGTGAATCTGGCCCAAACGCCACATGGTCCACGGAGGTTTATCTGTTCTTTCCACGGTGAGGTGCCCATTTCAGGAACAGCATATCCCTTTCTAGAAACTGTATTTTTTCTAATGCGGCTAAAATCAGTTCAGTTTTTATATATCAATCATTTCATACTGATAATTTCCATTAAGACAACCATCACCTGAATAGCTTTTTTTTTTTAAAATCAGAAAAATTTTAGTTTATTAATTCTTATGTTACATTATAAATGGTGTTGTGAATGAAAATGAGATAAATCGAGCTGTAGTAAGGTGAATTGAACTAAAATAAGGTTCAGATAATTTTTTAACCTTTTCTCCTACATTATGAGACACACAATGGCATAATGGAGAGAGCACTGCTTTAGGTGTCAGCAGGTTTACGTTCTTATACACCAAGTATGCCAATAATCAGTACTGCCAACACACCTCTGGGTCTTATTCCTCATTTATTCATTCAAGATCTATTATACTCAATTACTACTGTGTGTCAGGCACCATGTTATAAAGAGAGAAGCTTGAACCAGGTGATCTCTAAAAGGTATTTTCTTCACTCTGACATTCTAAGGCAAAGGATCTTGGATTCTACCTTTTAGACATCTCTTCTCTTCACTTGGTTTCTTTCTTTTTTCGCTACTTCCACCATGTGAGGACAGGATCTTACCCTCTATTGTATACACTTCTGCAATAGCCTCTTAGCTTATCTTCCTGGTATCACAGCAGAAAAGACTAGGGAAGGAAGACAGGAGGGCCTAGCATATGGCATAAATCAATGATGCCACAGGACTGTAGGGTTCCCTAGTCTCATCCCATTTTGACCTTTAGCAGTACATGGGATTGCTAATACACCCCCCTCCCGGCCAGGACTGGCTGAGGAACAAGGAGCGTGTCGAGGACATCAGTGCCAGTGGCTGTGAAGCAGTGGGTACTGCCTTACATCTTCTTCCCTGTCAATTCATCTTCCATACCATACTCTCTGAGGTCTTTCTATTTAACATCCTTCAGTGGAGAGAACTGAGTCAAAATCAGTCTACATTTCCAGCAACTCCTGCCTCTCCACAGCCTAGTCTGCTTCAGTTGGTCTAAGCTCTGAGCCATGCTTCTAAATATGCATGTTCTTGCTGGCCTCCTGCTTCTCTTCTTTCTTTGCCTCCACTAACAATGGAAGTCCCCATTAAAGTCCCCTTCTGAGGCCAGTTTCAAACTTTCGACCATTTTTCTAACCACCTCCTACTGCTGAGTGTTAGTTACTTCTTCCTGTGTGCTACTCTTTGACAGTTTAATCTTTCAATCTGTTTAACCACATCAACAGGACCAGGAATTTCTCAGACCATACTGGCTACCATTTTAATATACTGAATATTTATCTGGCATTTACAAATTCCACCTCTCTAATCCTTACAAAATCCGTATGATGTAGGCATTGTTATCTGTACTTTATATACGTGGAAACTTAGCCAAGGAGAAGTTAACTTCTCTAGAGTCGCATTTATAATTCGGTAAACTGAATAGCTTTTTACCAAGGCTAAATTGCTATGTCCAAATTCTCCCTTTACACAGTCTACCTTTTAAATCCCAATCTTAATCCCTGTTAAATCTGATTACATCAATCCCTCAAACTCAATTCTAAGTCTAATATTCAATAAGGCTTCCACCCGAAGTGCTTTTTATTACTTGTTACTGGGCAGGAGGACCAACTGCAGTCCTTGCTTTCACAGGACTTCCAACTGAAATCCCTGTCCTCTTCTCTCCAGAATTTTCACTTAAAAGAAGTGATGGAAAGGTTTGAAAAGGTTCAGTTCAAAACCATGGTCCATATACTTTTAAAAGGTTTTATTTTTCTAATCTCTTAGCTTCCTAAAAAAAAATTAAGGCCACAACAAACACCATCATGAGCACTTTTTATTTGTCATTACTGCTCTTCAGTGACTGCAAACAACCAACCTTAATTACTCTACACTCACTCTCACTTATCAAATGGACTGCAGGCTGAGTCAGTAAGGGTGTAAAATCTAAACATAAAAGGTTCTGATAACTTCAAAGGAAAAAAAGTAAAACAATTTACCTTTGGTTTTTTGTTCCGTGACCTGCAAAATAAATGAACAGAGATGAGTAAATGAGATTTGCTAATTTGGTATTATAAGACTATTTTAATTCTGATAACTCAAGGAATTCTAGCTCTCAAATACACAGGCAAAGTTAAAATCTGGAAGACGACGGTGGGACATCCTTCTAAAGACAATGGCCATCATAACTTACATGACCATCCTTATGAAGTATACTAAAAATTAAAACAAAAAGCTTTCCACTCTCATTAAATGATGAGGTCCTTGTACCAGGAATGCTGTTTGCCATTTTGATTGTTATGACTACAGAGAAGCAAATGGATGTGGCCCAGAAACTAAATTAGCCAGAGAGACAAAAAGATTCCTGAGTATGGACTCAAACACTTGATCTCAAACCTAGAAAGCAAAAGTTCAGAGGCCCACCACGGGAGGCATCATAGGTCATAGTAGGAGAGCAGGATTCAGAACCAAGCTGTGCCACTTCCTGGCTGTGTGATCTGAGTTCTCTATTTATCTGCTGACTGGAGATAATAATAGCATCTCCCTGCAAAGGGCTGTTGTAAAGATTAAACAGGTATCCTATGCCAATGCTCAGTAAATGTTTGCTATTTTTAAAAATCTTCATCTGAGGATATTTTCATTAATTTTAGAGTGAGAAGGTAAAGAGAGAGAAAGAGAGGAAGAGAGAAACACTGATGTGAGAGTGAAACATCAACTGGTTGCCTTATCACATGCCCCGTCTGAGGATCAATCTTGCAACCGAGGTATGTGCCCTGATATGGGACTGAACCTGAAGCTTTTGGTGTACAAGATGACACTCTAACCAACTAAGCCACCTGGCCAGGGCAATGTTTGCTATTTTTATTAAAGTTTGTATAAAACAGCATGAAATAAGCAAAAGAGTGAAATATGTAAATTTTGCACAAATAAATGTTGCTTTGTTAAAAGTATTTCTCTATACAGTAACTAATGCATCTATGAAAGTGATTAACCTAAAAGGGTAGGCAGGCTGAATATAATAATGGGTTTTCAGAGACTTTGGAAATGATAATTAGGAGACACATGGAAAACTGTTTCTGCTAGTAAGAGGAGAAAAAAAAGGAGGGCACCTAATTATATCTGCTCTATGGGCATGTATCATGAAATATCCAAAAGAAAATACTAAAGAAAAAAAATGCTTCAGAATTCCAACAGGGGTTATATTATATATTACATTAATAAGATCATAGATATTTTGAACCCTTTTCATAACTGTCAATTTTCCAAAGCCTTTTTATTTTGGTCCTCTGACTTTTATAACAAAAATATTCCTATAGAAAAGAAGAGGTTTGATTATTTGTGACTAATAACATACTAAGTTACTGCTATGAGTATTCATAAAAACATGCTCATCTTTGGAGGGTTATGTCGTGTAGCTAATCAGCCCATTTCACAATGGATTCCAGCACACCAGTGTCCGACACTGAATCTGAATTAAGCAATCTACTTGTGTGACCTCCTGGAGTGTTTCTTACATTCTTGCATTAAAAGACAGGCTAATTCTACTGTATCGAATTTCTGGTAGGCAGTGTTTCCCAGTACTAATTGTTACAAAGCTCAATTCAACTGTGTACTTTTTGTACAACCCCACTTATCCAAGAATGAACAGATTTGTAATCACATACCAATTCCTTAAAGCAATTTAAGGTTTATACCACTGTAAATATTTCTTAGAATGCCATTATGAAGACCAGTATACAGAAAGTCAATGTCTTCCCCAATTGTAAGTGACAAACCCAAACAATGTCAATGTGCCTTATAATGTGGGTTCTGTTAAAAGAGCTGTCCCTCAGATGGCGAAAAGCTGGATGATCAAAGCATGTGTTCTGCCAACACTGAACAATGATCCTTGAGCAGCATCAGCCTAATGAATGTTAATGGAATCCTTCTCTGACACCTCTCTCATGAATGGAAATCTAACAGTTTACTCGGTGATGGCTCTAGAAAGAACAAACTGCCACAATCACTGAACACAATGGAAAAAGCTCATGTTTAATTTCTGTGTGGAAATAATTTAATTTCTGTTTAAATAAAAGTCAATTCTTTAAGAAAAGTACGTTGCCAGCACTCATTCTTGACCATTCACTTTTGAACAACATTTTTTGAGTGATTCACGCACCAGGCACTCACTATCCTAGTTACTGGAAATATAAACATTAACAAAACCTTGAGAAACTTACAATTAGTCTAATGAGGAAGACAGAAGCAAAGAGATGATTTTAAAGCAATGGGCTAAGCAGCAAGAAAGATGTGGAAGGACTAAGAAGCACCACAAATGTTTGCTGACTGACTGGCTGAAGGACTGCATAGTAGAACATCTGGCATATTCTATAGAATTCTTTGAATCATAGCACATTTTATGCCTCCTAGCTGAAGTGTCATCTCTACAATGAAGTTGAAAACCATTAAGACAATCACATGGTAAGCTTTGTTCTCTTCTTAAAACTGCTGAATCACAATTTCATTCAGAAATTTCACAATGGTTTAGTATGATAAAACAATACCAAAGATCATGTGCTGGTCTAGATCCTATGTCAGCCAATCTACAACATTTTTGAACAAAATGACTAGACTTTTATTGTTCATAATTAACCATTTGAAATTTTATTTATGGTGATTTCTCTTTTTAAAAATATATATTTTATTGATTATGCTACTACAGTTGTCCCACTTTTTTCCTCCCCTTTATCCCCTTCCCTGCTGTACTCCCCAACCAACACCCCTACCACCCCTGGCTTAGTTCATGTCCACGGGTTGTACATATAAGTTCTTTGGCTTCTCCATTTCCTATACTATTCTTAAGTTCCCCCCGTCTATTCTGTACCTACCAATTATGCTTCTAATTCCCTGTACCTTCCCCCTACTTCTCCTTCTCCCGCTCCCCCCGGTCTCTATTTCTTGTGATTCGGTTCCTGTTCTAGTTATTTGCTTAGTTTGTTTTTGTTTTCTTTAGGTTCAGTTGTTGATAGTTGTGAGTTCATTGTCATTTTACTATTCACAGTTTTTTATCTTCTTTTTCTTAGGTAAGTCCCTTTAACATTTCATATAATAAGGGCTTGGTGATGACGAACTGTTTTAACTTGACCTCATCTGGGAAGCACTTTATCTGACCTTCCATTCTAAATAATTGCTTTGCTGGATAGAGTAATCTTGGATATACTTGCCTCTCATGACTTTGAATACTTCTTGCCTGCAAGGTTTCTTTTGAGAAATCAGCTGATAGGCTTATGGGGAACTCCTTTGTAGGTAACTTGTCTCCTGTTCTCTTTCGGCTTTTAAAATTCTCTCCTTATCTTTAATCTCGGGTAACTTGATTATGATGTGCCTTGGTGTGTGCTTCCTTGGGTCCAAGTTCTTTGGAACTCTCTGAGCTTCCTAGATCTTCTGGAAGTCTATTTCCTTCCCCAGACTGGGGAAGTTCTCCTGCATTATTTTTTCAAATAAGCTTTCAATTTCTTGCTCTTCCACTTCTCCTTTTGGCACCCCTATGATTTGGATGTTGGGTCATTTAAAATTGTCGCAGAGGTTCCTAAGCCTCTCCTCATTTTTTTGAATTCTTGTTTCTTCATTCTATTCTGGTTGAGTGTTTATCTCTTCCTTCTGCTCCAAACTGTTGATTTGAGTCCCGGTTTCCTTCCCTTTACTGTTGGGTTCCCTGTATATTTTTCTTTATTTCACTTTGCATAGCCTTCATTTTTTCCTCCATTTTGCGACCATACTCCACCATTTCTGTGAACATCCTGATTACCAGTGTTTTGAACTGTGCATCTAATAGATTGGCTATCTTTTCATCGCTTAGTTCTATTTTTGGAGCTTTGATCTGTTCTTTCATTTGGGCCCTATTTCTTTTTCTCAGCGCACCTGTTACACTGGAAGGGGTGGAGCCATAGGTATTCACCAGGGCGGGGCAACCCAGGTCGCTGAGTTGTGATGCTGTGTGGGGGAGGGGTCCGAGAGTGAACAATGCTGCTTGCTTGGCTCTCCACAGGCTTTCAGTCACTTCCCCCACTACCCACAAGCAAATTGGGCCCTTCTGGTGCTGATTTCCAAGTGGGTGGGTTTGTGTATGTTCTGGAACCCTATGGGTCTCTCCAATGGACTCTCCTGTAAGGCTGGGAGTTTCTCCTGCTGCTGCATGCCCCACAGGTTTTTACAGCCAGAGGCTCTGAGGCTTTCTTTTCTCCTGGTGGAACCCTGGGTTGTGCAATCTGTCTTGTGTCCTAGCTGTTTCTCTGGTTTACCCGCATTAAATGTAGGACCTCCTGGTCCACCAGCCATGTTGACATGCATTCTCTCCACCACGACTGCCTGCTTCTGCCCCTCCTGCTGGTTTGGATGAATGTTTCTTCTTTAACTCCTTGGTTGTCGAACTTTCATATGGTTCAATTTTCTGGCAGTTCTGGTTATTTTTTGTTTTAAAATTTGTTGTTTCCCTTATTTTGGTTGTGCGAAGAAGCAAAGTATATCTACCTATGCTTTCATCTTGGCCGCAAGTCCTGATTTTTCTCTTTACCGAGACTTCTTAACCAATCCTTGATGCAGATGCAAGCACACAGAGATTACCCAGCTGAATAAACTACACTCCCTGCATAAATAATCCCAATTCACTCTTGAACAATAAAAGCAAGCCACTGTTAATTTTAATCATTTTTCTATTAGTAGGATCCACAATGAAAGTTTACAGATGCATACTGTATGAATTGATGAATTGTTTCTAGATATTGACATTTTCAGGTTAAGAGAACACTGTTGTTTATGTGAAGAACAAGAATGGACTACACATATCCTAGTCAACTGCTTTATTTGGCCATCTTCTTGTTTCCAGCCTTTGCTCAGGGTCCCCAGTGTCCAGCCGATTAACAATCCACTCCCACAGACCGCAAAATCCAATTGTTGTACCAATTTAGTAAATGAAATATGAATGACCCAAAGGAAAGAAAGCCTTCATTGAGGTTCACTCTCCCATCACTCCTGGGGGAGGGCTCAGCGTGTGCAGGGCAGAGGAACAATGCCCTTAACACCCTGTGCCTGGTGGAGCTGTTTATTCGCAATCTCAGTGATGTGGAAGTGGCTGCACAGCCAAAAGAAAGTAAGAAAAAAGCATCTAGGTCATTATCTGACAACTTTAGTCAAGCTCTTCACTGTCACTTTAGACAATTCTAACAAGCTCAGATCAGAAGGAGCACATTAAAAGCAGGTACCCAGATAGCATGAAGGTGTGACAGTGAGCACACAACAAACAATAGAAACAAACAATTAAAAACCGACAAAATCTTGAAGACAATAGCAGTCTATTACAGCACCAAGCAATAATGAATATTCCTTTTAATCAAGTCATCAAGAAAAATTACATTTCACAGGTTTAATGTGGCAGGGTTATAGGCAATCCAACTCAAAATATATTTCCAGTATTGTTTTTAATGCTGGCACTCATAAGAGATCTGATTTTAATTAATTCAGAAAACTGATCTATGGGAAACACTATACCCAACAATGCTGGGAAAACTAGTGGAGTCCCTTTTACCTTGCATGCACAGTGCCTGATTGCCTTGAGTCTGTTCTAAACCTAGAGTTCCCTGTGAACCTTTTCAGAATTTCCTCCTCCATGAACTTATCTTCAATAACCTGGGACCACATCAGGGACACTTAAACCTGCTTCTCACAGTGAGGCCCTGCTTCCCAAGTGCTTCAGACAGTGGTGACAAGAACTGGAGGAAAATCATCTTGCTTCCGAAGAAAGGGTCAAAGCAACCCTGCCAAGCCAACGTCCACATGAGGCAATGCTTAAAGGAGTGCCAAGGTGGGGGAAATGAGCCCAGACAATGCCCAGGGCAGAGGGGCATGCTCTGCAATGAAGGGAGCAGGGCAAGGGGCTCAAACCATCGCTGCTCCAACAGCCCATCAGATGAACACCTCAACCAAGTCTTGACAGTTGACAGCTGCCTGCCCTTTTTTTCTTTTAACGTCTCTTTTCCCCAGATCCTCAGTGAGGGATGTTTCTTTATGAAATTATCAAAAGGTAGGCTCATATAAATGACAGCTCTGGGAGTGGACCAAAAAGAGAACAGCAGAGCAAACTATGTCAACTCTGAAGTTATTCTATAAGCTTGCTCAAGAAAATGGAAATTAATTATGATACAAATAAGGAAACACGACAAGAGTTCAAGTGTTGGTAACTGTCTTGCCTTTCTTAATATTGTTTACTGTTGTTTTCACAATATTAGCAACAGCATTGTTTAACAGACTTAACCAATTAAACCCACCTTCTGAGTGGCTTCTTTTTTCTTTTTATCCTCTTTCTTCCTTTTCTTGTCTTCCATTAACTGTTCTTCCCTTTCTTGCTCCTTCTCTCTGTTAAAGTAATATCACACCAGAAGGTTAAATATATGTATTTGTAGCAAATCAAAAGCTTCTAGACGGTGTGCAAGGCAACAATTTTATCTCTGTGACTGAGAACACATTATGTTACTAAAACTAAGAGGCTGCAAAAAGTCACCACATTCAGTTATTCCCATATTTTGGTCTGTCATCCCTTTTCCAAAACATGTCATTAAGTTTAGCTTCAAAGAAATCCATTAAAGTGAGTTTAAAAAAAAAAAAATCCTCACCCAAGGATATGTTTATTGATCCTGGGGGTGGGGGAAGGGAGAGAGAAAGAGAGAAAGACTGATTCACTGCCTCCCTTATGCGCTCCAACTGGAGATCGAACTTACAACCTAGGTATGTGCCCTGACCAGGAATCAAACCCATAATTCTTTGATGCACAGGATGACACTCTAATCAACTGAACCACACAGCCAGGGCTGAAGTGAGTTTTTTATGAGATCTTCCTAAAAGGGGACATGGACGGACGGACACCCCCTCCCCCGGACACCCACACACAATGTATTTCTACTCATCAAAGAACCTGATGTAAATATATGACAACCTCCAGTTGATTTCTGGCAATATTCTTCACAAATAACACAATACATTAATTCAATTATGGTACACAGGTATTTATCATAATTTAGCTGTTTCCCACAACATTTTCAGAGTGATTAGCATAATACTCTATGTTCTACATCTTGTGTTTTTAAGGCAGGTCCTGAGTGTCCTATATATAAGGTATTTTTTATGGGGTGAGTTCACTGTTGTGTCTTCCTGGTGCACACCCGAATCAGGACAATCAGAGTCCCCCCCACATTAAAATAAAAATGATACCCAATAATAAACATTCTAGTTGAAGATATGTGCTAAATCATTCTAGTTGAAGATATGTGCTAAATCCTAAGAAACTAAGATAATGTAATTTATACCTTGCATTTGAAAAGTAACTTTAAAACTTAGTATTTATTCTAACATATTACAGAATACAATCCAATATATATTCTAGTATATATTCTAGCTGCCAACTTTCACTCTATGTATCAACTGGAGAAAACATATAAAAAACCACTGGCATAACTTCAAAGCTCAAGGCAGGAGACCCCAGATGCCATCCTTAATGAATTTCAGAACTTGGAGGACAGCTGGAGACCTAGTTCCCAGGTCCCCAACTATCAAACAGATATGGCCTATAGTACTTGTGATTTTAGGGGATCAACACATCAGATCCATGGTTTCATATAGATATTATCTAGAAAAAAGCTAAAAGTCAGAAAAATTAAAGACAAATATTAAGGTAAAGGTTTGTAGATGCGGCAAAAATCATAAAGATGGTTCCTGAAGGACTCAAGTTTGGGGAGGGGAAATCACTTCGCCTATACAGGAGGGACTTAAGGTCAACAACGAGGTGAGCTCTCATGGACAGGTAATTAATTAATGCTGTGCTTACAGAAAACAAGAACTAAACAACAACAACAACAAAACCAAGAGTTTTACCTACATGTCAAGTTTTCAGTGGCTCTGTCCACATTGACACTTTCTTCTGGTGTATCTCTGGACATAAATATACAAAAGCCTAATGTGCACAATTCACACTCTAAAGGTAACTTTCATGAAACCTTTAAAAATACAATCATGAAAGAGATTTTATTGACATTTCCTTAGGCTTAGCACTGGATTTCTTTGGAGTCAGATTATGTGTACATCAGCCTCATCATGGAACTCTTAGGGAAAATCTACTTGCAGCTGTGCACTAAGAAAATGGATTTACAAAAATCAGCAAGATGGATGATGATCATTTGAGGTAGGCTGACCATAGATCCTGTTACATTTGGCACCTAGAGCCTTCTCCTTCCTCCAGATGCAAATGGAGGAAAAAGATGGGGTTCTTCATGACCCAGTTACTATAACTTGGTTTTCATATTTTAAATTGCAATTGACTACAGGAAAAGAGCAAACACAGCATGAATATCTCCTATTTAAATGCTTTAAAAAAGCATTATGTTGCACTTTTCTATATCAATTCTAAAATTCAAAGTTTACTTTAAAAATGCAATGAAAAACAGCAGTAAATTTTTAATGAGACACAGTCTTAAAAAAAAACAACTAACCTTTTCAAATATTTTTTCCTATAAACAGGTAATTCAGGGAAAGGGACTGAAATTCATGTTAACTACCAGCAGATTTACTTCCAAAACAAATATTTTTCAAAGCTTTCCAGGAGACAGGCTGTGCTTTCACCCTCATCTTTTACTGTGCATATTGGTAGAATTGAGTCTTCTCTTTACATTTCACTTCCTTCGGAAGAATTTATTTTCCCACACTAAACCTGACTTAAAAACCTGCCATTTGCTTAATAATGGATCACACAGTGTTGGGTTTGCCTTTCTTCTAATTGAGTAGTACTCCCTCTTTGCTGCACATTAGCACTGTCTGGGGAGCTTTAAATAGTCCAATGCTGAGTCAGAGCCTGAGCATGGTGCAGGGAGTATCCATGCAGGGAAGGCATTTGGGTGGTGGAGATGCAAGACTGGTTACAGAGAGGGGGACTGATCAGTAAATAAATAAATATATTAAGTATAGTGAGTCAGGTTTCTCACTATTGCAAAATGGAGTTACCAAAATGAAAAGAGAGAATGCACCCTGTGTAGTTGGATCTACTGGCACAAACTCATAGTTTCTAATATACTGTAAGCTACCTGCCTGTTAATTGCCTCAATAATCAGATAATTGTTGTTGCATCACAGCACTTGTGTTCAATTGACCCTTATTTTACTTAATAATGGCCCCAAAGTACCAGAGTAATGATGCTGGCAATTTGAATATGCTAAAGAGAAGCTCTAATGAGCTTTGGTTAAGTTAAAAGGTATGCATAGAAAAGAGTACATATATGGTTTGGCACTACCCATGGTTTCAAGAATCCACCGGGGGTACTGGAACTTATCTCTTGTGCATAAGAGGGGGGACTATCTCCCTTCCCCAACTAGCTCTATTACTGAGAGGGCTTGAGAAACAATCCCCACCCAAATGCCAATGAACATACCTAACACCCAGATTGTGGTTTCTAAATACTATCCAGAGTTCTTTGGAAAAAAGAGATAATCTGGGGGCTCCAGCAAGGAAAATACAAAATGAGCCTGCAATACTTGGTTGCCAAAAAGCAAGGAAATGTTCAACAAATGACGGGACATGTCAAATGGTCACAGAAGCCAGTCTGAAGGGGTTCTTCTAAGTTAAATCTGGGACATGTATTCAAAAGAAGAGCCTCAAAACAACTAATGAAATCATTTAACATACACCAAGTTACTACTACTTGTCAGGCACTGACCTAAGCATTGGGGATTAACAGTGGGTGAGAGAGACTGTCCCTGCCCTCAGATAGTTGACATTCTAGATGGGAGGGAGACAAAACAAACAGGCAGTTGCAGGACATCATTACAAATGCCAAGACCAAAATAAAGCTGAGAAAGAGAATAGAGAGTGGTCCAGAGGGAAGGGATGAGGGAAGAGGGTGGGGTACTTCATACAAGATGCCCCCCTGGAAGGCCTCTCTGAGGTGTTTTTCTGAGTAGAGCCCTAGATGTAGAAAGCCTCCCGGAAACGAGTAGCTGCCGGGGCAGAGGAAATCCTAAGCACAAGGCTCCTGGATGGAGAGCGCTTGGTGTGAACTTTTTTCTGGAGGGGGAAGATGGTACACCCCCCCCCCCTTTCCCTCACCTCCCTTCATGGCAAACACCCCGCCCCCACCTTCACTATTACTTTGTAACATACCAAAAGAACTGTGCATTATTATTGCTTAAAAGCTTTCCTCCTCCTTCCTTCCCTTCACTATTCCAGTGCCTACTTGGTGCCAAACACTGTGGTGGAGGTGAGAATTCAGCAACAAAAAACACGCAGTGCTGTTGGCTGTCCTGGAGTTCTTAGTTTAACTTTTTAAATGGCTGTATCTCGCCTTACAACAGCTTCAGGGCAGGAACCTCTGTTCTTGCTCTGAACACAGCTTACGGTGCCTCTAGTGTTTTGAATGTACCAGAACTTTGGACATGTGAATTCACGGCTTGTGATAATCCAGGTAAGAGATCAACTTCTTTCCACAACTAGAACCATGAAAAATAGTTCTTGAATTCAGGTGCTCAAGCGTATCATGCCTCAAACATCGGTAGAGGCAGGGCTGACAATTTCTTACTTGAAAATGCTAATCACCAATATACTGGCTGGAGTGAAAAGATTATGAGTCTCAATTTAGCTAAACAACCAGGGCTCATCTTGACAGCAAAACACCTTCAGATATAAAGAGAATTTTCCTTTTCTTTAAGACGTGGGTAACTGGTTATCAGAGCATCCAAACCTATTGCTGTGCTCTGTGGTCAGTAAATGTGGCGGTACCTCTGGTCCCAGTTTATAACCAACTCCACACAACTGATGGAGACAGACCTGAACAGATACAACCGATCCACCCAACGTATGAAACATGCCAGATGCAAACCAACACTCTAAAATAACTGTTTATACATCAACAGCTTAGATAAATCTTCAGAAAATTATCATAAGTGAAAACGCCAATCCCAAAGGTTATATACGGTATAATCTCATTTGTATGACATTTCTGAAATGACAAGTGGGGTTGCCAGGAGGTGCGGTGGAATGAGGCCGGTGTGGTTACAAAAAGGGGCAACACTACAAATCTCTGAGGTGAAGGAACTATTCTGTATCTTGATAGTGGTGGCAGATACATGAACCTACATGTGATAAAACTGTACAGAATTAAACACACATACTCAAGTAAGTACAAGTAAAACTGAGGAAATGTAAATAAGATCAGTGAGTTGCATCCACGTATCTTGGTTATTGTATTATACTACAGTCCTTAAAGAAAAAACCATTGGCAGAAGCTGGGTAAAAGGCACATGGAATCTGTATTATTTCTTCCAAGTACACGTGAATCTGTAATTATCTCATTAAGAATTTTAATTTTTAAGAAAGGC